CAATGATTTTCCTAATTTTATAAAACAGAGAAAGTGTATGCAAGGACTATGAACCACCACAATTTCCAATATTGAGACATGTAATTGAATAGTTACATCACTGAATGCATTTCAGCTCTCAATCTTACAAAAGTATCTGTATTTCATACAGGCCCGACACAGAGTCCCAGAGCAGAGCTCTGCACTGCAGGACATCACCCATCACCTAAGTGACCTTTGGGTGCTACTGCAAGAGCCGGTCTCACAATACAGCAAGATTTTATAAAGACAGCTTTGGTTACATTAAGACACAAATTTCAGTCACTGTCTTTGACAGAAGAAGAACTAGCTGGCAAAGCAGAGATTAATTCCAGGCAGGTTTGTAACAAGTTTGCATTCACAGCTGAGAAAAAAATAATGAAGTACTTAAACAGACAGCAGATGACACATCCTCTTTGCTTTTTAATTCAACATCCTGCATTAGAAAAACTTCTGGGCTATCAAGGAAGAGGAATCATAACCTTGACTCATTTCCTACTATGTGAAGCGGTGCAGCAAATTTGTCTGGGGCAGGTTCAAACACAGTTCAACATAGGTTTGTAGGTTAGCCTGCTTTTAGTGCTTTTTGTCTCTGATAGCTCAGCAAAACAGATTTTTATGCCATCACTCTTAAAAGGCAGAAGGAAAGGGAACACAATTTCAGATGTTATACAGGCTAATAAGAACAGATAAGGAAGAATTTTGCTTATATTGATTTTTACCCAAGGATGTGGAGTTAAACTTTGCATATAACACACTTCTGCAATCCCAGACTTTACAGAATTAAAATTTCAGCTACTAGTGAAGACTTGACGTAATAGAAATCTAAAATAATCCACTTTTATTGACATAATACCCTAAGTTTGCCAAAGTTTATGGAAATTCATACTTTGAACTTATTCAAAGAAATTAAATTATTTGAATAATAAACTTGTACTCACAACCCTGTATCACTAAAGGCAAAATGAGGTAATTCAGGAGAAAAGCAAGGGGATGGCTGCTTGGTAGAAATTTGTCCTTTATAGGTCATTGTACACTCCAAAAATACAACATTTAAAGTAATTAGTATCATTTTCAAGGAATACTCAATATTTATGTGAGATTGCAAACATCCTTAAAACAGGCTGAGAAACTCAAGGTAATGTAGATTACTAATACAGATGACAAAAGAACACTCTAAGCACAGCTAGGCCTAAATACAAGTGAAATAATGTATGCAAAACTGTCTTTTGACTGATAAGCAGTTTTACTTTAGGCATTAATTAGAAGCAATTTGAAACAATACAAAAAAACCCACGAGCTTTAGGTAACAATCATAAGGCAATAAAGACCAAAAAGCTAAAACAAACTAAAAATAACTTGTTTTTAATCCACTGAACATTGCCTAGTTTGGAAGAACAAACTACCATTTTTCTACAGCTCTGTCCTTGGTACTTCACAGTATTAAAATACATGGATTTCTCAGTCTAAAAAAAAAATATGAACAAACATAGAAAGAAATCTCAGTTTACGATCATTTACTACCCTATGAAATCTAGCTGAATCAGCAGTGCTACATAGCTTTGAGAAGTTGGCTTTTAGATTTATTTGTAAAAATTATCTGCAGTGCAGTCTCAAGATGTCAGAGGAGTTATTTACATGAGGCTGCTTTATATGTATTTTTGAAATACAAACTACCTTATTAAAGTCATATTGTAATACATTCTCCATTTACAGTATAAAACAACTGAAATCCTTTCTGCACTGAAACTGCTATGAAAATCTCAAACGCTTTCAGAGTTGCCAGGAATCTACCCTCTGAGTTTTTCATGAGAGTTTCAGAAAATCAGCTTCCGAACAAGAATTCAAGTCCTTAGCCTGAGCTCAGGTTTCATAAATTCCAGGTCACAGATCCTATCTTCAAGACAGGCTGGGTCACAAGCTATCTGCAGGTATAAGCTATGCACAAGTTTCACTTATACTTATTTGGACCTAAAAAAATGACAACAGAACAAACCCATTTTAATCCATATCTAAAGCAGTGATGAATTACCAACCCAATATTAATGTTAGCAAGAGGGTTGGTGTTTTTTTTTCCTTTTTTTTTTTCCTTCTTTTATTTTTGATAAATAAAAATAATGATATAGCTTCCCCTTGTCTCTAAAAGCTTAGGAATTTATTTAGTAATTTATTGAAGGTTACAGAATTTACACATCTGAACACTACGGGAAATGACATGTTCAGAATCAGACAAATCTTCAAATGGAGATTATGTAATTATGTAATTTAAATTAATGTTGTTTAAATTGTCCTAAATGGCAAAAGCAGCTGTAACTCAAAGCTATACGATATAACAGAAAATAAAAATATACCACTGAAATCAGCCATTCATCTAATCTGTTAAATTCTCTAGATTTTAATGCATTAATAGCCAATTGCTAAGCCAACCTGAAGTTTTAGTTTCTTGAAAAAGAAGGAAAGAGGGATCAAACACTTCTGTTTATGTAGTTTCTCTCTTTGATTGTTACCCATTAAAAATTGTGAGTTAATCCTTATTTATTTGTTCCTCGATCAGATAGTCCTTTGATTTGTTATTGCTGTGTGTGAACACTTGGCTGCATGTGCCAATTAATTTGTATCAAATACCGAGGCATAAGTGCTAAGAAACAATAAAGACCATGTGAGACTACAATATAATCAGGATATATTATGGCCAAACCACTATAATTAGAAATGACTGTAAGGGTGCTTTTTTCCTAAAGTTCTACTAAATGGCTGTTTCAGTTTCAAAGGTACATACTAAAAATCAGAAACAGCAAATCTAATTCACCTCTTGTAAGCACATATAAAACGCATTTTTCCATTATAGTATTTTTTGTAAAAGGTTCCCATAGAACTGCATGCCAAGGATGGGTTTGCAAGGGAGCTCTTCAGAGTTTATGCTTAAAATAAACATTCGTTTGTGTCTCATAAGATCATAGCCCACTCCATTAACCACCTAGTTTTCATGCTGGATATGGAAGTAGCCAACACAGGGAAAGACTACAGAACCCAAAAAATTATGCACGATTTTTCCATTTTAATTGAATAACTAATGGTTTTGTGAAGCTTTAAAAAAAAAAAAAAAAAAGGATTCTGTTGCATTCAAGATAGGAGTAGAAATGGTAAGAATTAGAGATCCTTTTTTGCATATGCCTACCTATACACATACTATACAGTAAACACTTCCCTCAGAATATACTTCCTTTACTTTCACGGGCATATGTAAGGTAACTTCATGCCCTATACATTCCAACCAGCATTTCAGTTAAATTTCTTTTATACAAATTCAGAATTCCAAGAAATTTTCTATTCAATGGAAATGAAGGTTTGTAGGCATATATTTTGTATATCAATGGAAAGCTGGAAGATTATCAGTTTGTTCTGTGAACAGCAAAACTACTAAAATCTGATTTCTTTTACATCCCCAACTTTATTGCCCAACCCCCTTTCCTCTTCTTACCCTGGTATTAACTTCAGTTTCTCTCTATGACACAGTAAGAGACAAAAGTACTGTATAGGTATACAAAAAATTTTAATAGTTATGATTTTCATCCCCAAAACGAATGGCATATGAGAAATTTAGGAGTATCAATCTCATAACTTTTTTCCTGCAATATTCTGCTGGTTCAGTAGTTATTTTTTAAATGTGAGCAGAAGGAGGTTTTCTTAAAAATATGCTTTTCACACTCTCCCTGACAGAGACAAAAAAATTATGCGCATATGTGTATGCGTGTAATTGTACGATTATTAAAAATATATATATTTTAAGATATGAATTTGATTTTGGAACAGAAGTTCTATCATTACATTACTTTGAGTTTCCAGTATATTTAACTGTAAGGTAAATTAATGAAATGGGTAACTTATTCCTTTTTAAAAAAGGAAAAAAGAAGAAAAAGTCTATCATGGTAAACTTCATTTTCAGATATAAATGACCATTTTGAACTAGACTTACAAGCAGAATATTACTTGTTTGTTTGTTTATTTAAAGAGACTTACTATTTGCATTTAGTTTTTGCACGCATCGTTACTCTCACATACATACTTTTCTACCACACACACGACATTATTTTCATACTACCACCTAATGAACGACAGTCACCTGGATCTTGTTCTCTGCACACCTCATGGAACAACAGCGTACACCTACCGAAGGTGATGAGCCTGCCTGGCAGCAGAGCCCCTCTCCGGGGGCTCGGGCTGGGGGGGGGAAGAAAGGGGAGCAGTGCTGAGCAGGGAGCAGGTTAGACACTCAGCCAGGACACCCGGAGAATCAGACCCCTCCCCGCTGGGGCAGGCAACACAATCACGTCTTGGTGAGAAGCTTAGCACGGCACAAGCTTCCACGTTCATGATTTGGTACATTAATGACTTCGGAAATCTTTTCCCCCTCCTGTATAATTATTTTGATGCTCACAGTATTTATTCCCTTACTCGCCTACAACAGGTTCTAGTGATTAAACTTCCTAGAACCTACGCTGCTCTGAAGTCAGTCACAGGAGAAGAGTAATTTGCTATTTCAGACCTCTGGAGCTAACTAACCGAGGGGTATTGGCTTATGCTAGGAAGTGCTTACACCCACTCTGCCCACCAAGTGTTATTCGGACTTAAAAAAGAAGTCTAAATTAAACACCTCTATATTTTAGCCGAGTCAGAAACAGATGGAGTGCTACTGTTGGCAGCTCATCTAGCTGTACTTTGTTCAGCATGGTTTTGTTTTTTTTTTCTTTTAAAGCAAACAGATTTGTAAGTTTACCTTCTCCATATCCAATACATGAATATACGATAATGTTGACCAAGAAAAGGTCTTGTCCAGCCCGTAGTTTAAGGAGCACAATTAACGAAACAACTATCACAAAGCAACAGCTAACATCATCTCCATTTCCAGCAAGTAAATCAATAGCTCCATTCACAACAGGTTTCACAGACGATCCAACCCCAGGAAAGCCACGCATACTTACAAATTATAAAGCATATCAGCCATGTTGCTGCGGTAGTACAAGGCATTTCTATAGGCGCTTTCAGCTTCAGAGATCTTGCTCTGGCTCTTGAGAACATTTCCAAGGTTACCCCATGCTGTCAAGAGGAGAAAACAGTATTCAGAAAGAGCTACAATCCAATTACACAAGACAGAGTATCCCAGTATCAGGAAGTTCCTCAGGGAGACAAACCCCACAAAGAAACTATTTTTATGGAAGGAGGGGGGAGGTTGGTTGGTTTTTCCCCCCAGTTCTCTGCATCTCACTGTGAGACTCACATTTCGTAGCAGCGATTTGCATACATTCTGTATACATATAGCTTTCTGGTGGGAAAAGAAACTATAAAACCAAAATATGTCTCTATGCTTTAGAAAGTACTACAGCAAAGGGAAAGGACTGTTTTATTTGATATCACTTCTAAATAAAAACCCCCAGAGTGAAATGTGGAACTGAGGCATCTTCATAGTTGTAGCTTTTTTTTTTTAAGCATATCTACCCTAAACAGCAAGAAATTTTCCCAGAGTAGACACAGCTCTCACTGAAGTATGAAAATGGACAAATGACGCAGGAATTGAAAGAACAGTTAGGTAAGTAACTAGTATTAAAAGTATGCCATATGGATATAAACATACTACACAGATCACTAAAATGCATTTTTGTCTACTTGGAAAACATGTGGTTCCTTTCCATACAATTTATGATGTCATACAAAGTGCTTTTATATGCCATCTATAAAGGACTTGAGGTTAAAAAATATTTAAGGCTCCACATGTGTTCCCTTTGCAGTTTTGTTGAGTAGCACAAAAACTGTACTTACAAAAGAAACTGGAACTAACGTTTTATCGAAAACACAGCCCATGTTACTCACCATTTAGGAAGCTAATGTAACTGGCATCATAATTATAGTCTATGTGTATACACGAAAAAACACATTATACTTATAAATACATCAAAGTTGTTTCATAAAACAGTTCCACTTTCACAAGTATTTTTTTATGAGCAAGAATAATGGAAAGATGATGCGTGTCCTTTCCAAACACACAATATATGGCAAACTATTCTTCCCTCCAGATGCGCTAACCATAAACTTTAGCTCAAGTAGCAGTTAAACTCTGCTGCTTCAGCTACTCAAGCCCTTTTTTTAAAGGAATTTGTATCAATCCCTAGTAATGCAAATTTTCAATGTAGTTTTAACATAACACTGCTAAACAGGTTGATAATTACGCCAGATATATGCTCTTCTCCTTAGAAAGTGCATTGCTTCCAAGCTGCTGTGGTTTGCTGCAAAAGCATCCTGCCACAGGGATGGAAACAGCAGCAAACAGCATTTTCCTCTGAGCAGAATAAACTAATCATTGCTGGGAAAAAAAAAAACAGATGGAATCCTTCAGGATTCACAAAAGTAATATCATCGAACCGTGCACCACATATTTTGTAAAGACAAAGAAAAAAAATACAATATTTCCATGAGAAAAGAAGCTATCACTTCCGTGAGTCACTTCATTTTAGCCTAGTATTTCATCAGATGAGAAATAATTCAAAAGTTATTTATCACTAAATTGACAAAAGCCACAAAAATGTTCCATCATTCTCTTCGTCAATGAAATAAAGCTGCTAAAAATATTCTCAGATTCACTACATTTTTACACTCGTTGCTAGCATATTTGCAGAATTCTGAATTTATTTCCCCATTACTGCCACTATTCTATTTTACATGTAGAAAACATTTCGGAAGCAGCAATTAAGGTGACTAGCCAGCTTGTAAACATTAACATTTGTAAGAAAAACATAGATTTACTTTTTTTTAAACTCATCTGTGCAAATACACCCTGAAGTTGTTTCTGCAGTAACCATCTGATTTCCCATAGTTGTATGTTCCATATAATCTGTAGGTACTTTTGTTTTCATTCTGATCTCTCATAACAGAGCATTACATCAAATGACCATTTGGACTACTGATAACAATTTCCTGTTATAGTTACTTGCTCCCAACCACTTCGAAGCTCAGTGAATGAAAGGTTGTACAGAAGAATGGTTCAGTTCATCTTTTCTGGATGGAAAAACCCTATTAACACTGTTAAATGTAATCATTTCTCCTCTAGAATTCATTTCATGCTGTACACTATTATTTATCTGAGTTAACATAATTTTTAAGGCAATACTTTATTTTACATTCTGCAAAATAATCTGTGTCAAGTTTTAAATATCAATCAATATTTAATCTGCATTATTTCATTTGAAATGTATTCCATTTAGACTTTTGTCTAAACTTGTAAAACTGTGAATGATTAGTTTAACTTAATGTGATATACTAGAAGAAGTGATAATAGCAGAAAATAGCAAACATAAAACACGACAATCTCACAATTTATCATTAAAAGAAACACAAAAACCAAGGTCTTTTTGCTTCCCCAAACTACACGAGCTTGGTATAAATCTTCACATCTATTTAAATTCAGAATTAGTTAGATGAATGACCTAGTTCTGGATATAGATGAAGCTACATGGAATATTTTGTAGAATAAATGCCTTTTTGTAGAGATCATACTCAGCCCTAGAAGTTACGAACAGCTAGTATCTGCAGCAACCACATCCTCTTGGTTGCTGAGATGTGAGGGAGAGAAAAAGAGGATGGTCTACATGAAAAAGAGGCTACCTCAGCTACTCAAGGAACTTCACTCTTTTTTGTCTTAAGTAGTGCAACTAAGCTTAGAAAAACCAAAGCATTTCAATTATTAACTACATCTCTGTCATTCGATTTCTCAATCTAGATCTCAAGACAATTTTCTCCTGTAAAACTGTAACAGCATCATTTCAACTATGTGTGCATTCAGAAATATAAACAAAATTATACCTGAATGAAGCCACATTCCTATTAAAAACATCTGGATCTAGCCAAATTTCAGCACTCAACTATTTTGCATCTGTACATGGCAAGAAATTAAAAATTAATATTCTCAAAAGAAAAAGCAACTAGGTCAGTAATTCTGGAACTTAAAATTGATTTTTATTCCACTTATTTTTAATATATATTTTTCATATAAAATCTGTAACACCTGAAATTGCAAAAGAGAACATTTAATATTCAGAAGATGCTAAAGTACACATATACACCACAATTTAATCTTTAGTTACAAATTCAGTTTTTCCCCTATTGGAGACCCTATATAGTGCAAGAGAAAAAGCAAGCTGTGAATGAAACAGCTTTGTAGTATTTACTTTCTGCCTGCTGCTTAATTCCCTGTCCACTAACGAGACCAAAACAGTCCCAGATCTTTTCGAAATAATACTCCATCATAGCATGGGAACAAAGGTAACATTCACATATCTCACTCACCTACAAAACAGTCAGTCTTTTCAAAGTTTATTTCATTGCCTACTTTTCCATAGATCATACCCAATTTAAATGGACTTATTAAAAATTAAATCCATTTCATCATCTTGCATCCAAAGCCAATTATAAACTGAAAAATCTCTTAATGCTTGAGAATTCCTATGCTAGTTACATTTCTTTCAAGAAAATGGAACATCTTAAAGGGGTTTTGTTGTTGTTGTTTTTTTTAAACAAATAGCAGGAAAAATTGCATAGCACTAAGTAGGAAAATAACCAATTGTTTAAGTGTTATAATTTTGGTCATATCAAACTAGGTATCTATTAAACTTCCTATCAACATTTATGCCACCTTGCAGTGAGAGTAGGTCAAGTTCTCAGGCATTTAACTGCTTTCAAAATGAAAATGAATATGACAAATTTCAGCTTCAATTTTAACATGATTAATTTCTCAATTATCTCATTGAAACTGAGGATTAGGATTTAACAAGCCTGAAAAATACCAGGTTGGCATATTAAACCTTCTCTAAGCACCTGGATTCTGGAAGAGGGCAAGACAAACAACAGTGAAGCAGGCACAACGTTGCTCAATCTAATCTGCCTGGATTTAAGAAGCACATCTTACTAAAGAGAACAGTTGAACTTTCAGCTTGCAATTGTATTATGAAAACAAATGAGAAATGGAAATGAATGTGTGCAAATATCTTCATTTAAATAAATCTTGCCCTTTCTACTGCATCAAGAATCATGCTATGCTATTCAGTGAAATGGAAATAAAAAACGAACAAAAGTAAAATTTCAGAGAGAAGCACACAGGTGATATAAAAGCATGAATGTTGATTACTTGATCCAATAGTTCGATTTAAAAACAAAAATTGAAAAATCATAAATCATTAACAAAGATATAACCCAAAATATTAAAGAAGGATTCTCCTTCCTCCCCATCACTTCTATATAATCCATGAAAAATGAGATAATAATAAAATCTATTTGGAAACTCACGATCTATTAACATATCTGTTGTCAAAACACCTCTGCTGAAACATTGAGAGGAAAAAAAATCCAACAAAAATACCCTATTACACCACTTAAATACAACCCGGTAAACTTTTAGAAATAATACAGCAAAGAAAAGGAAAATGCTGCCTTTCCCAGTACGTTATGCTGGGGGCAAATATTGCCTTTTGTAAACCTTACTAGAAGCAAACATACTTGAAAACTGATGAAATAAAACGTAGGACTCAAACTTTAAAAAATTGATACACGACATTCACAATTCACATCAATAAATTCCTATAGTTTTATAATACTGTTCTCACCGTTTTATTCACAAAATAAAAGTTAAAACACAAATTGACGAATGCATTAAAAAATGTGAACTCAATTATTACTTGAGTGAAATAAACCACTTGAACAAAGACTGAAGTACTTAGGGAACAGCCAAATCATTTGTAATCAACTTGTCAGCAGTTCCAAACTAGCAACTTTAGTTCACAGAAAAATGCACATCAAGCCAAGAAAACTTCTACTGAGCTTTACAGATATTTGTGCATTATTTTCTGTTCTTTAGCTTATGAACAGTAGTTCCCGGTTGCATTCCCTCTCTTTACAAACCTCTGAATTTCTCCTGACTCGTCTATGAAAAAGAAGCGAATGCATAACAATTATCATCTCTACTTTTTCATAGATAGAGTTTAGGGATGAAGAGGTGCTGGTCCAGAAAAAAAGGGCTTCAATTTTTTTTTATTTCAGTAACATCTGTTTTT